TACTATTCCGCAGGTATTTTGCCAATCGAAAAAATTTGTAGAATGCTAAATAAAACTGAAAACAACCTAATTTTTAGATAACTTTGCATGTGGTTATTTTGTTTTGGGGGTAATTGAGACGCGACTAAAAGATTTAGGACACAGTCGTTTATTAGCAATTGCATTTGCATTTTAGTTCATGCATGTTATAATGATTAGGATATTATAACCTAATAAACGTAAACGCAAAGAATCTCTTTCTGGTTTCATTGTCGAATTTCGATAACTTTTACTGTATGAGATAATTTGTTGTCAATTTATTTGCAACTGTTTCAACACGCACTCAATAATGGAAAACGTTAGAATCAAGGAACTGAAACAAATACTACTAATCATTTCCTTAATTAAGAATTAAGATAGCATTAGACTTTGAGGGGCATACTCTGCTGGCTTTGATTGATTCACAATACCAACATATCTACGATATTTTAATGCGAATTATGATCTGGAATTAGTTGCCAAAAAGAATTGAAAAGTTCGACAAACAAAAAGGTCTCTTATTTATCTTCAATATTTTTTGTGCAAAACGGTTGCCAAAGTCTTCGTGTATCTATCCCAACTCAGAAGCAATTCCAAAACCCAAGAAAGAACCAACACTCAATGGTGGATCCAGCACGAGCACGACCACCTCAAGTGTTTGTCAATTTAGGCACAACCGAAATGTCTGATGATTTCATCAGACATCTCGTGTTGGGCCTAACAGATTCAGGGATGCTCAACGTTTTCATAGACAGAGAAGAGTGGTTGGGAAAAAACCTAAATCATATATATACTTATATCGAGGAATCAACAATTGCGCTCGCTATCTTCTCTACGCGGTATCCAGAGACAGAATGGTGTTTGGACGAGCTTGTGAAGATGAAGGAACGAGCAAGCGATAACAAACTCTTGGTGATTCCTATCTTCTATAATGTGAGCAAGAACGATGTGAGAAACCTCGAGGGAGAGTTTGGCGACGGATTCATGGAAATGAGACAAAGATATACGAAATACAAATACGATCCATTTAGGGTTCAAAGATGGGAAACTTCGTTGGCGTCTATTTCAAGAATGGAGCCTTGTTTAACGTGGGAAACACAAAGGTACTAGAAATATATAATAAACCCAATGTTCTAAAAGATTTTTTAGTTGACTACTTTACTTTGTAGTAAACCAACACAATTAATCTTTCATATATCATTCGTAACATTCATCATGTTTTTAACTCTAAATCAGCAGTCAGCCATCTACTAATGGCCTAGCAACTTTTAAAACATTGATAAATAACAAAAATATTCTTGTCTAATAGTTCTAAACGTACGTACTCATCAGTTTTTTTTTCCTTCGTGTTTGCGCAGCTCAAATATCTCTCTTATCACGGACATTGTTAGGGAGGTTAAGAGAAATCTAGACATGGATGCGGACCCGAGAAGAACAAAAATGGCGTTTGTAGAAGTGTTTGTTTCAGCTTTCATTGTGGCTTTTGTCTTTAGTCTCTTGGTAGCGCGTCTACCTTTCACAGATGTGAATTTTTTCAGGACTGCAAAGTGGTTAGTAGGTTTTCCGGTTACATTTATTGCCTTACTTCAGTTGTATTCTGCATTGTCACAATGAAACAGATAATTAATCATTCACGATCGCATAATTTGCTGCTTTGTTCTACATCAT